GATCTGTCAAGCATTAATATAAGACGTGTAGGACAAATTGATTGTCCTCAAATTTTGCACTTATCATATGTTTAGTGATCAAATCCAGGTAAACTTCATCAAAATTTGCTTTCTGATTAACTAACAAGAAATTCAAATGAATAAATAAAATACTACCTAATCAGTATCGATATGCATAGACAAAATTCCATGAGCTTTGAACGAAAAAAAAAAAAAAACAAAGTTGCCAATTAAAACATTTGACTTGCCTGTTAAATATATTTTTTTAAATGTAATTTTATTAATATTGAAATATAATATATAGCCATAACAATTGACACAGACTTTGATGGAAAATACAAACATGAAAAATGATTTTAGTTGTCGCTACCCCGACATTAGGAGACTTTCAAAAAAACTCTAATTAAAAATTATTTGCTTATTTTATTTTTGAAAAAAATGGTTGTTGGTAAAAAAAGGTGAATAATGACATCTCTTATATTTTTAGGAAAAGATAAATAGTTGCAGTTCTCTCCCTTTTTTTTTTTTTTTTGCTAGGGTTTTTTGGGTGGGGGAAGATAAGTAATGGAAGCTAAGATTTTTAGGTAGGAAGATGAATGATGGAGATTAGGTTTTTTTTTAGGTAGAAAGATGAGTGGTGAAGGCTAGAGTTTTTGGCATAAGGAAAATAATTGTGGCTGTCTTCCAAAACTGAGGTGAGATGAAGTTTATAAAGGGATTTTTTAAGGATTTGTGATAAAATCAAATTTGCCACTTCTTTTGTCCATTTCTTTCAATTTCAACACATAATTTATTTTTTTCCTCAATTAGTTTCTTAGTTGAAATTGTTTAATCCTCATTTCCGTTGATTTTTTTTAATTTCACACTGATTAATTCTCAATTAAGGTCCTTGATTTTTTTTTTTTTTTTATCCATGTCCAACTACATCACTAATTGAATGTCATTTGGTCCTCACTTTTCACACCATTTTCAATTAGATCCTAAATCATCTTCTTGATTTTTTTGTTTTCTTTTTTCTTTTTTTTATTTTTTAATTAAAAATGAAGAATAATTCTAAGAAATTGAAATCCTATAAATTTATAAAAAGGCCTAAAAATCGTAAACAAGACAAACCATGCAACATTCCAATGTTTTAAAAAAAATTTGAATCTCTTCTTTTTTTTTTTTCTTTTTTCTTTTTTTTTTTTGGAATTTTACATGAAAATAAACATGATAAAAAATGGGTTATGACCTTAGTCAAGTGAAAAGAAACTTAGTCACTAAAACATAAACTATTAACTGTCTAAATAACATCTCATCCTCTCTATTTTAAACTGTCTAAAATAGTTTCTGCTTATTTGACTGTTTATATTGTAATTTTTTTATGTGTCTCAAGCTCATGAATCTCGTACCATTATAATAAAAAAGTATTTTTGAACGAATCTATATATCAATTAAGAATAAATTTTTTTCTCCACGATTCTAAACATATACCATTCACACACATGATGCTGATGTATTGAGAAAACTTTTGAAATATAAACAATCATCCCAATTTTGGTTCAACCAAATGAAATGGTTAAAGCCCATTTGCTTGACTTCCAATCATGTGTTTCTCATGTAATGCTGAAGCCTAGTCAACAGAAGATGGTGGTTTTGATAACCTTTTTCCGAATGGAAGCCATTGACATCATGATCAATAACTGTAAAATAGTACTAGCATTACCCATCTTCAACTTTTATCTAAATCTAATTCTACAGAACTGATAATGAATTGGCTCTTACGGTCAAATCTCTTTCTAATTAATAAGATAGAGCAAACAATTTTATGGTGCTGGGAATTTGATATTGACTAGAGGTTCCATACGTGATCTTGACAACCTCCACCAACAAGCACTAACCCCCTCTTTAGGGCCCCCTCATTGCATGACACCAACTTTACACCTCCACGCATTAATTAAGTGCTTTGGCTTTTCAACAACTTACTTGTAAAATCTTCCTTTTTCCTCAAGTGTTGAGTAGAACGCTTTCCACCAATCTTTGCAAAGAACGCCTACTTTGATTAAAATATGAGATTAGCTTTAATATTCAGACAACTCCTCCTCTACTATTGGAAAGCTACTAATCATTACCACTAACCCATCATACATTAAACATGCCATGTCATGTAAGGAATCTATATGTAATTAAAAGGCATAAAAAAGGATGGCAATGGTGGTTGATTATGACCATTGCCAATTCTCTGATTGCACAAGAGCTGGATTCGAAGGAAAAATAAAAATAAAAAGATCAAGTACATGCGGGTTAATTTATTAATTTTCTTAGTGTGGTCCTTCTAATTATATTCCATCACTAAAAGAAGTCCTTCAGTTCAAACTCATTTCGTTACATGCTGACATGGACTGACAAGTGACTAGTGGGACCAACTGTTAATCCAGCAAATTAAAATTTAAAATAAAGAAAAAATTGAAATGGTAAGAAAAATAAAAACAGTTGAATATTATATGCAATACCAATTAATCCCAATTCATAAATTAAAAACCCTAAATTATCTCAACTCTCCTTTGTTGTGCTTCCATTTATTTATTTTTTATTTTTTTAAAAAAATTTCAATTATCTTTATCTCATATTGGAGATAAAACCAATTATATTCGGAGCGAAAGCAGTAGGATTTAACTCCTTTTAATAAGTGCAGCTCTAAGATTTGAATCCTGTATATTGATAAAAAATTCACCTGATAACCAATTCATTTATCATTGGACCAATAACTTAGTGGTACCATACTTTCATTTCATAAATGAACAAAACCCCACCATTTCTTTTTATATGTATATTTTTTTGTTTTTTACTTTTTGATTTTTCATAATTATTATGTACCATATTTAATTCAGCCAAACAGAACCAAATGCCACTTAATCTTGATAAACTAACAAGGTGGTCCAACTTGTCCGTTCCCCTTAGCATTTAAGCTCTGAATATGAATGGAATGACTTCTTTAAATAACAAAATGTAAGTAGGAGGACCAAATTAAAAAAAAAAAAAAAAAAAAACTATTGATGGAGGGCTACATTACGAGACCTTTGACCTGATTAACCAAAAAATTTAAATACTATTAAAAAAATATAATATATATAATTAAAAACACATAGAATGACTGAAAATTCAGATTATTAAATAAGAACTGATTGAACTATGTACCATTTCAAGAAATATATTCACGCTATACACAAAAAATTGGTATATATAGACAACATATTTTCAATAAATAGTACTTTTAGCAATGAAATATCTTTGGGTTCTCCTGACACTTTAAGCGTTGCTAGATCAGGAATATGAATCTAATGACTTGAAGCAATCAATTAACCACATTTTTGCAAGGTTGAGGAGTGAATTATCGGTTTCACTAATCAGGGATGGCAAAGATGACGAGCATTCTAATCGTCACGGATTTTCGTAGCATGTTATGAAATGTAGGTGACACTTACCATTCTCTTTCTAGCGACGCCAGATTCTGAATTATTATAGTAATTAAAATATATGTATTCAACACAGCTAGTCAACTATAAACAAAATGCCTAATAAACATAAACAAAAAATATATATAAATATTCCACAAAGCTAGTCAACTATGACTTCAACCTATTTTTTCTCCGAAAACAAGTGCCTATAAACAAAATGCCTAATAAACATAAACAAAATGCCTAATCAGGAATGAAATATCTTTGGGTTCTCCTGACACTTTAAGCTTCATCTCTAAATATTATTTATTTATTTGGCACCATAATTACTTCTACCAGTTTCGCTATCGGGATGGATATTTTAAATGTTATCAGCCCAATTCAGATTTGGTCATCAAAAACACCAAAATTCATGCCCATTTAGTTGCTTTTGATCATATTTGTAGGAGTCCACACTTTGACATGGGCCTTAAGTTCTGGTTTTCAAGACCCATTTTGGATTTTTCTTTTTCTTGTCTTTTTGTTTTTTGGGTTACAAAAGCAATAAATACAAGCAGGAAAAAAAAAAACACTTTGTTGCAGAGATGGAGACGGATATCATATAAAAATAAGTGGGAGGTAGATTTATGGAATGGCATTGGAAAATAACAGGTAAATGATAAAGCAACAATGTTACAATAATATTGTTCAACTGGTTAATTTTCTAATTAGTTCTTCTGAGGAAAGGTGCATGGCACCCCAATCTGTAACCATTATTCAATATTAGGCCATCTCTCAAAACTTGTAGAATCACTATTTGCAATATTTCACAATTGTACAGTTAAGATGTTTCTACAATCTTATAAATCATTCTTCCCTCTCAATTTTAAAGTTGATTTGGAAATTAATCTTTATCTCGTCGGGAAATTTATTTGTATGTACTGTTTTTTATTGAACGATATCGTTGTTAAGGTGTAGAGGTTAATATGAATGTAGCCTACAGATTAAGGCATTACCCAAAATGAGGTTTTGTTAGCTACCCTTTAGTTTTTTTTTTTTTTTTCTAATTTTAATTATCCACACTATAAATAGAGATAATATTTCTTATATTTGTAAGCCGTCGTTTGATAAAATCTTTATAAAAACTTATAATGCAGTCATAAAGTAGATATAATTATCAAATTACGTAAATTTATGTTGTATGATTATTATTCTCTTTCTATTTTTTTTATTTTTTATTTTTTGCTTGATTTGTTTCTTAACAAGAGTATTCTGAAATTAACTTGTGTTTGAATCCAAACTAAATCTTTCTTTCTACGGACCATCAATCCATAAAATGAAAAGACAGGATGCTAGACTTTTAAGCCTGAATTGCAAATTTCTCTAGCAAAGCTAGGTGTAAGAGAGGTCAAGAACAACTTATTATCTAAACAATTGTTAACCAGAACAGACATAGCCAAACTAAATTATATACATATGGTGCCTGAATCTGTATATATAAAAAACCTTCTTGCAAGGTTTAGTTCACTTGGATTTTAGTTTGCACGAAGATGCCTTTTACCTCATGAGACTACTCCTTGACTGCTAGCTAGCTAAGGTAGGGTTGAGGCCTCGAGAGACATCCCTTGCCTCGTGAACTTGTTCCATTATTTCCTGGAAAGGAACCAAGGATAAAGATTATTCAATCTATTAATCCTCAAGAACATTCTCTAATTGCCTTGTGAACTTGTTCCATTATATATGTGTTTGGGCTACTGTCAATGTTTACGTGGCCTTTGGGCCTTTTGATATACCAAAGCTCTTCTTTTTTCATTCTCTTGTTTAATAATATTTGCTCTCATCTTCATCCCACAAAAAAAAAAAAAAAAAAAAGAAGCCCGTTGGCTTCACAGAACCACATTGTTTGAGGGGTTAGACGCATGTTTGAAATTTAATTTCCATTATCATTTGGTGCAAATAATTGCATAATTAGATCATTCTTATGACTTTTGGTCCCAGATTATACTTTGTAAAATAACTTTTTCTAGGGGATTGAGAGGTATATAAAATAAATAATTTATTTCTGCTGCTATATATGCATTCTATATTTTTTTTATACCATAATTTAGTTTGAATTAAGTGCACAATCCTTGACGCTAATTGAGCTACTTCAGAAAATCTTAGTCACTATTGCATTTTGTATTTTATTTCTGGTTATATACAAGGTACCTACCTTTGATCCTGAGCCTGTGATTTAATAAAGTCATAATATTCTATTCTTGACCAAAAGCCATTTTTAATGGCTGGCCTTTCGTAGGTTAGCGATATTCTTTATTGGCTAAATGCGTCTGATTTTTTTCTAAAATTTAATTCATTTGAAATTGAGTTTCTGAATTTAAATTTAGCTTTTAAATTTTAAATTTAGCTTTTAAAATTTTTTATTTTTAAAAAATTTAATTCATCTAATAATTTCCACCTATCATTTTTCCTTTTAAAAAATTTCATTATTCGTATTTTGAACTGAAATTTTGCACATACGTAAAAAAAAAAATTCCAATCCAGTTTTTATAAAAATCTCAAAATTTTTTAAAATAAAAAAGTATATTTGTTTATTTATTTAACATTAAAAATATAAAAAAAAATTGAGAGAAATAAAAAATAAATTGAAATGATCTTAATTTTTTTAGAAGTCTCGTAGAAATCTCACTAAATGATTTTTATCATAAAAATATTTATGTAATTTTTATTTTTTAGGATAAATGATAAAAAAAAAATAAAGAATAGACTAAATCTAAAAAAATTAGAAGTTCAAGAATTCCAAAAATTAAATTTAAAGTTCAAAAACTTAATTTCAATTGAATTAAAGTTCAGAAAAGATCTAATTCATTTAGAAACAGAAGGCAAATGGATTAAATCTATTCTGAACTTTAATTCAATATTTCAATATATATATATATATTCCTAACCTTCCCTTTTAAGATAATAAACAGATAAAAAGCACCACGAAAAGTAGCAATCAAAATTCAAAAGCGAAGATTAGAATATAAAATTTAACATATGCCCAAGATGCCACATTCAAAACACAAATTATTAATTTGAACTATATATATACAGAACATATGCTCTCTTATTGTCTTCAGAGCATACCCAAGAGAAAAGCACAAAAATATCAGACTGATCCACAGACCTAATTAACAAGAAGTTTACGTTAATCATGCTTAATTGGTAGTGATTATTAATTATAAGCACCAATCAAGTTCTTGGATGGGAAGAGATGGAATCAATGTGACAATATTTTAGAGCTTAAGGACTTGTTGAGCCATGCCTTCCACCCAGATATTGGTTTTTTTGCTATAATGTCTGACCTCACTTCTGTCATTTGCGTCTTCAACTGTTTCTTGCACAGCACAAAATTCCTTCCCTCTTTACAACCTATAGGTTCCCATGGATCCAACGCTACATATATTAAAAAGAATACCAGTTAATATAATTTAGTCTATTAACATAATTAAAAATAAAAAGAAAACAAGGACTGAATTTAAGGCAAAAAAAAAAAAAAAAAAAAATTAAGGAGAAACATGAAAGATTACTCTCTCCCCTTAAATAAAACTATATTCTACTCATAATGAACTTGAAATAATATTTTTTTCTGAGTAATAAAATTTTTAAGAAAAGGGTAAGTGAAAATACGTACCATCTGAAGATGCATTTGCACAGTAGAGAAGGAAGTTATTGACATCGAAGCCAAGAACTGGTAGCCGGTCTTCACGAGCATAAATCTTCAGAGCAGTGTCAATGATCCCAGAAACAAGATCATCCCCATTAACCACAAACCTTATAGGCCCTGAACTGCCAAGAAAATTGATACTTATCAAGAACCTGTTCTTTTTGTCATCGCCTTTCTTATTCTTTATCTGCTTTTGCAGCATCATTTTCTCACTCACATTTCTCTTCACCTTTTCCATTATTTTAGCCTTTTTTTGTCAAAAAACAAGATATATAGCCCAAGCAAGAAGAAAGAAGTTAAGGGTTTAGATTGGAAAAAAAAAAAAGAAGAAGAAGAAGAAGAGATGAAGTAATAATCTTGTGGGGTTTTCCTTAGGGATCAAGGCCAAAGCAACGATAGTACCAGGCCTGTTTGCCCGAGCCGAAGTGGCAAATAAGCCTGTGAAGAGAAGGCTCAAAAGCTCTCTGAGAAGAAAGAGTGGAGAGAAAGTGCATCAAAATGGTTGTAGATTTTGTTTCAACCATTCAAGAAGGAATGAATGAAAGACGAAGAAGAATATAAGCAGAAGAATTCTTTGGTTTTTATTTGATGTGGTCGTTGGTTTACGTGAATTTGTTTTTGTGGCCTTTAGCCGGTTGTTAAGGTTGCATTTTCCTCACTTTCCTACGAAACTAAAGAAGTCACACGATGGGTAATCTTTTGTTCAGTTAATTGCATTACAAGTTTTATTTTTTTTACTTACTTTTTTTTTTTTTTGGACAATGTAGTGAATTCTTATCTTGATGATAATGTAGTTCTTGATTCCTATTCCAATACAAATGGGCATTTGGAATTTTCCAATAAACACAGATTGAGTTCATTTTTTAATTTTTTTCAACAACTATACATAGCGAGGGATAGTTCTATCTCATTACATAATAACTAAAAAAATTAAAATTATATTAGAACATGAATGTGCTTCACTAGAATAGAACTCGAACATATTTTAGATTTAGCTGAAAAGTCAGAGTTTGCTGTTTACTCTATTTATTTTTGGATTGAATTTAATAAAAAAAAACATAGGTTAACAAATTCTCAACGTTTTAGATTTAGATAATATGTGAATTTGTTTTCTTCTAACATCTTGGATTTAAAAAAAAACAAAAAAAAGACTTTTTTTCTCCATGAATCCATCAATTTGGAATGATGCCAATTAATCTTCTCTTGGATTCGTTTGGTCCAGTCATACCTTTAAGCTAAAAAACTTTTGATCTAATTTTTTTTGGCGAAACCTACTGATTGCATCATGTGTTTTCATAAATTCATAAAATAAATTTTATATTTTTAATGCCGTCAATTCAACACATGTATTTTTTTTTCTTTTTTTTTAAGTTAGGCCAATTAAGTATAATATCTGCAAATTAATGATTTTTATACGCAATCTGAATTAAAAAAAATATATAAATTATTTAGTACAAATACCATATGTGAATTCCACTATATACGAATATATTATTATTTTTAATTTTGACTGTATATTAAAATCATTGATTTTAAAAAATCTTAATCAATTGATCAAAATTAGAAATACAAGTGTTGAATTTACCGAATTAAAATCACATATAGAGAAACATTTTTATCTCCCAATTTAAATATACATATATTATTTTCAAAACACTGACTTAATCATTAAAGTAACTTTGTCGAGCTCCTCCTGCACCATCAACTTTGGTGTGCAGAACTAAGAAGAACACCATCACTATTTTACACACACTTTGAAAGAGATTGAAAGTTTAAATATTCGAATCTAGATGTCAAAGATCTCAAGCATCATCATCATCATCGGACCTAGATTTCATAACATGTCTCTTTCTTTAAAATAGTTATAATTCTACCTTTAATAATATATTTGGCACAATCATTTTATTTAGATATCATTCATAACAAATCTTATATTATTGAACGTTAATGTACAACAATCCTTTCATCAACTTTTTTATCGATTGACCAAATTTTATTAGTTGTCTTACGTCCGACTAATTAAGTAGCGGCATTTGTCAATTTAAAAGTAAAAATGTAATTTTCTTTTAAGATCAGTTTTTTAAAGTTAAAGTAATTAATAATTATTATAAAATTATAAAAAACTGGAAAAAAATAGAATTTTTTTAAAATAATAAAAAACACTATTTAATGATTTTATAACAATTATTATTAAAGAAAAATTTTAAAAAAAATCTAAAGAAAATTTTAATGATTTTATAATTTAATAAAAAATTTGATTATTACTTTTTTCAATTTTTTTTAAAGCTTTCCTTTAGATTTTTAAATTGATTTTATAATGATTATTAATTATTTTAATAAACAATTTGATTATTACATTTTTCAATTCATAATAAATTTTATATTATTGAACGTCGATGTAAAACAACCCTTCCATCAACTTTTTCATTAGATTGATCAAATTTTATTAGTTGTCTTACGTTTGACCAATTAAGTGGCGACACACGTCAACTTAAAAGTAAAAAAATAATTTTCTTTTAAAATCAGTTTTTTTTAAGTTAACATAATTAATAATTATTAAAAATTGAAAAAAATAAAAATTTTAAATAATAAAAAATCACTATTTAATGATTTATAATAATTATTATTAAAGAAAATTTTAAAAAAAATCTAAAGAAATTTTTAATGATTTTATAATAATTATTAATTATTTTAATAAAAAAATTTTGATTATTACTTTTTTCAATTTTTTTAAAGAAATTTTCTTTAGATTTTTAAATTGATTTTATAATTATTATAATTTATTTTAATAAAAATTTTTTATTATTAATTTTTTCAATTTTTTTAAAAACTTTTCTTTAGATTTTTTTTTAAATTTCCTTTATTAGTAATTATTATAAAAATAATTAAAATTTATTTATATATTTTTTTAAATCTCTTTATTAATAATTATTATAAATTCATTAAATTTTGAAAAAAAGATTATTTTAAAATTTTTCTTTAGAGGTTTTTTCAATTTTTAATGATTTTATAATAATTATTAATTTTTTTATTTTTTTTAAATGATTTTTTAAAAAAATTATTTTTTTACTTTTAAGTTGATATAAGTTGCCTCTTGATTAGTCGGACGTTATCAAGAGTCGGACGTTAGTCAACTACGAAAATTAATCGGACTCGACGAAAAAAATTAAAAAAAGGGTTATTTTGCATCAATGTGTAACAGTATAAGATTTGTTATGAATTAAATCTAGATAAAGAAATTATAACTGTATTTTGGATATAGTATAAAAGCAATAGGTGTATTTGATCCTACTATCAGTGGATCGGCTCTTATCTAATACATATGCAAGATGACATCAAATTATTCTAATTAATTGTCAACTATTGCTAATTGTTATATATATATATATATATATATATATATATATGACAACAATAGACTAGGGGAGGAGGACAAATATCAGTTATCCTAGTAAGCTTTATTTAATTCGTGTGGCCGTTTTGGCGGTGCCGTGGTGGTGTGTCGCAAAGCAGTAACTTGGCATCCACCGGGAATCTGTTGTGTTGAGGTTGTAGTTAAAGTGGAGTAAATTATATCGATTAGTTTTTTTTTATTTTTGAGAATAAATTAATTCGTTTTCTACGTCAAAAATTAATTTTTTAATTAATATTGATTATATTTAATTTAATATTACTTTATTTTATAAAATGTCAATCTTCTATCATCAATCCTTCCGTAGTTTTTATTTATTTTTTTCTATTTCTTAAAAAAAAAACCCTAAAATTAAAAGAAGATTTTTAGTTTTTGAAACTAAAAAAAATACTAATTAATTCATTTCTCAAAACTAAAAAGTCTAATTTATAATTTACTAGGTTAAAATGCAAAAAGTATAGTTAATAGTAAATGAATTCTGTAAAATCGTATATTAAATACTTAATTTTTTTTCAATAAATAATCAGACTTTAACGTGACATTGCATTATATAATATAATATCGTTCGAACAGGAATTGAATTTTAGTTAATAAAAATAATTACATATATCTCTTACTGTTGAATTAAAAAAAAAATTACTCTATCCGTCTTATAACAAAGTCCTATTAGACTTTTCAGAATAAAAAAATATATATTTAATATTTTGTCAATTCATGAACTTTTTGTTGTATTTACTACGTTATTTTTTAAAATTAAATATAGTTGAAAAAAATGTAAATTTATATTTTAAAGAGGGAGAGAAGGAATAAAGTTTGGATTAAACATATATTTTGGAACTTTTAAATAACAAAAAAAAGGCACTCTTTTTATACGGGGGAGGGATTACAGAATTTAAGAAGCCACAGAATTATGCCTTTCCTAAACATGCCAACTCTGCCTTGCTTGTAGCTGTGCCTGATTTATCATATCTGGAAAAGAAAAAGGAAAAAGGGAAAAGGGAACACCGAAAAAGAAAACCCCCTTTAATCTTCCTGGAATTGGATGCCGTGCTCTTGAGGTCTTAACAACTGCTGAGTTGCAACTAGGGTTTTTTTCCTTGGTCAATCCCAAACAAAAAGAACATAACGTGGGCTGATCTTGTTGTTCTTTTGAGAGGCACCAATGGCAGAAACTTAAACAACACATATATTTGCAATGATGGTATCATATTCCATTGGCGAATGATGTCAAAACTTATAGCTAAGCATCCGTAAATTGAAATAATTAAGCAAAAATGAGACTGGTTTAAGCATTTCTTCACATTTATTCTTTATGTACTTCCAAATTTTACAAAATTCCTTTTTTACATACTTTTCCATTCGAGCTACTAGCTCAAGATAAAGAACCTCATACTAGGATTAATTTTAGCTGCTGCTTGATATACCAAACATAACTGCATACCTCAGGCTAGCTACTCAACAATCAGCAAGTTATTTTCTGTTAGTCCCTCGCCGACGGTAGGATACTCCGGAGACAATTGCCACTCTCCATCCACCAAGAATTTGATTTCATACCTTCAACATTGAAAAACTAAGGGTCAGGACATATGAAGAAAACGAAAGACAGACCGAATAACTGAATAGAATCTGGGTAGCTGATCAATAGAATCACACCTTCCAGGTCTAAGCATTAATGTTGTTGCGAACTTGGTGAAAGAACCATCATACTCTGGTGATAAGTGTTCCCCTTGACTCCAACCGTCAAAGGTGCCCATTACTTGCACAGACTGAAAATAGATAAATCTTCATGAGAGGAAGCTAACCCCCGAACCAAACTCCTTTACATAACTAAAAATATTTTGAAATCCAAATTTGTGAGTACAATGTCTAAGGAGTACGAAGGCGCTTTCTTGCATTCTCACCTCTGCCATGCCACACCAGAGCAAGGAAACCTCCTTGGATTGCACAGCCTCCACATCCTTTGTTTGTTGCTTCAATTTTCGTTGTAGAGCTTTACAGAAACACGGAGACCAATTAAATTTTATATGGAAAAGCCTCATAAAACAAAAGCATCAAAAGAAATAGTAGAACTATATTCATTGTGTTAAAAAAACTAAGATGGTTGTCTCGAGACATAATTGCTGGTCCACATTGCTATGCAACACCATAAAGTTGACCTTAAAACACAGCATGAACCTCAATACCACGGGCTCAAGCCACCAGAAACTGAGGAAATTATAAAAGGAAAACCTATCGAAAAAAAAAACCCCATAAATTTGAAGGATTTGCAATTTGATGTGCTTACAATACTACTGCATTGCACTTATCATACATTTGGAGCAGTCGTAAATATTTACTTGTTCCAAGGAACCAAAAACATCATCATAAAACATGCATGCAAAAGCATTGTACCTCCTAAGCAGGAAAGAAGATGAGATTGTATGTATTTCCCTTTTATCTTTCTTGACCCTTCTGGAATTTCATATTGAGCTATTTCTTCAGCGAGCATGACTAAACCCTGCCCATCAAAAAACAAATTAGAGCTCTTCTATATTTGGTTGACATCACCAAGATGTTGAAAAAGTAAATAAAGCCTTTTACACTTCACAACATCTGGTTTATGGAGGGAGCAAGTGAAGCTAATTCTGCCTAAATCCAATCAACAAAGATAGATCAACCAATTAGATGTTTTGATTTGGATTCAGCCAAATGCAAACAATCATGGTTCTGCGAATATAACAAACCAAACTACTAAAATAAACCCATTGCTCCTTCCACATTCCACAAAAGAAGCTCCTAAAGAACTTCTGCCTGAATTAGTAACAACATACATGTGTAATCGAGTTTTGGAGCAGCAATGTCCATAGAACTATAGAAGCTTAAATTAGTAGCATGCAAAAACATAATTCTAATGCAAGATTGGACCATGTCCCCAATCACTGATTGTTGAATTGCATGGATTTGAGCCATCAATATAAGAGTGGTTTTGGGACCCATGACTGTCCCATGTGCACCGTGCCTGGAGTGCAACACTTTTTAATTGCCGGGGACACTGTTTCATGCTATACAAGGTAATAAATCATCAACAGCTCTTTAATAAGCTTCTCTTTTAAAAGTAAATGATGAAGAAAAAGGGCAAACATTTCCCATATGAAAAAAGGCTGACTCAGAAAATGAAACAATTGTGAAAATAGTCCGCTGTTAACCTGAATTTCAAGTTCTATCGCAGCAAGTTCACTTTTGAAGTTAACGAGAGCACCCTCCGTTACATGGAGCTGTGGAAATCACAAAGACACGTAGAATGTTAGTCAAAAGGAATCATACAACAAAATGGCACTAAAAACTCTGCTTCTGGTAGCATTTATATTGCATTCAGAATTTGATGAGTGGGCTTCTTCAAAATTGAAGCATCTCATCATTATATGTATCTTTTCAATGCAAACATATGCCAAGTAAATAGTCCAAACCAGATTCATGCACGTTATTGTGGCATTGTTACAGCAAGCAAGGCCATGTAATATGGCTCATCCTCGAAAAGCTATAAGTTACAGAGACAATATATCCTCAATAGCATGGAAGAAGTAACTATATATGTCAAGAGGATATTCCAACTTGCACCCTATTTGTTGATATAATTCTAACAAAGGAGCAAAGGTGGCACAGACAAAAGTTTTGAGATAAGGATCCTAGAGTCTGGAGTACTCAGGATAAGCAAAAGTCAAGCATATGCATTGCAAATTTTGAGAAACTAAACATATTGTTGGGATTGTTTGTCGGTATGGAGCAGGGGTGTCATAGTTAACAACTTACGGTACCTAGTTTCATCATGTAAAAGGAGGGAGGAGAGGTAGACTGACGTACATACATGGGCTGAAGCGAAAAAACAAGAGCATGACAACAACTCACAAAAAGCCTTGCATGTATGATAACTAAATGAAGAAATAAGATCCATCCAAACGACCCAAAATATTATGGGGCAGGGATTTAGTTGCGTTGAGTACCGGGGCATAATGAAAAAAGTACATGACTATTGCAATAACGAGATGGTAAATTAAGCATCAAATTCAGACAATGAATGTGCAATCATCCTGATATCAAATATTAATCATTTGCAGCTAGAATGCAAGCGAAGCCACTAACAAACTGCATAACGATTTTTTGATACATAACTACATCGGGTTTTCCTAAAGAACATACCCTAGTTTCTATATATACAAACCTGTCGTTTGAGAAACCGGTTTTGCTGATTGGCTTCACTTAGTTTTTTTGTAAGTTTTTCTCTCTGAGAATCAAGCAGCAGTGCATTCAACTGTAAAAAAGAATGTAGAATATCAGTCCACATTTCTTTTCGAAGGATAGACCATGTGGCAGCCCAGGAAACTTTTGTTTCAATTCTAGTGCACGTCAATTAGCCTAATTAGAGTCCACCCTTAGCAATTTTAGTTTTATACTGAACCAAAGATTACAGCAATGACCTCAGCAGGCACACTCAATTCACAGCACCAAAATTTCAGGAATAGGGTTTAATTTCCAGCACGTCCTGATGACTCACTTTTAATTACAAATGAAGCGGAGCTATACTGGCACATGAGACAGTAAACAAAACAATACTATCATTGCTCATGTCAAATATACTAATATATTTTTATCCAGCCAAAAAAAGGAACACCAAAACGAAAGATACCACTCCATTTGAGGTCAACACATAATTACAGGCTGGAACATAATTACAAGCAGTTCATACCACTCGAGGTATTAAGAGGATGCCAGCAAGCATATACATGCTATTCTCTTATATGTTGCTCGCATTTTGATTTAATTGTTGCATTGCTATGCATTATACAATTAAAAGTCTTTAAAGAACAGATGGGAGTCCTGCCTTGAAAGATTTTACTCTCTGTTTATTTATTTATTTGTGGTTCATCTTGAGTTCTAGGGGTAAAGAAAGAGAAGGTCTCAATTGCTATTGCACTTTTTTAACTGTATATTGGTAGACATCGGTGTGCCTTTTCAATATTCATTTTTGCTATACCCAGGCTCAATGAAACAGTACACACGTTCTCTTTTGATATATAGCAGTGCACATGTCCTAGTTGCTCCATGTCTGTTTGCTGTTTCAGCAAAGACAACTTTGTATCTGACATCATTACACTGTACCAAACAGCAGTGAAAATGTGAGCTCACCTCATCACTACTCAATGGTTGATCAAGAGGCTCTTCTGGTGAATCCTCAGATGTATTCTCTTCATCAACTGAATAATCTTCTGGCTGTACTGATGAAGATTCTTCCAAACTAAAAGGCATGGTATATGTTCTCCACAATACATTGCTCATCCATTTTTTTCTAACAAAGCCTTGATGAGAATGAGCCAACCTTGGGTTGTTTGGCTTAATGATGCAACCAACCACATCATAAGGGAGCTTATGGATACTTTCCCCATCTAACGTTCGTGAATTCCATGAGAACCATGGTACTTGCTTGCCAATACAACACCTATCACCCATTATAACAAAGGTAAGCATCATGAGAAAGAGCTAAACTTATCTAAAATGCAGTGAACATAATGTAAATAAGGCGACAACTACAGAAAAATCGAACAGAAGAGGGTGCAAACAAAAGCATTGGTAACGGGCAGAACAAGTTTGAATCCTTTTCAGCGGTATAAAAAGCAAAGAGAAAGAGATGCAGACAAAAAACATTGGTTGGCGGAGCAAATCTAAAAACACCTTTCTGGCAGTACTCAATAGTTTCAACTCTTTGAATTGGAGTCTTAAGTACAATTAACAGTTAGTTTTCTCTCCCTTCTTTCCTGCATCAACTTAAAGATGGTATTGTAACCTTGGTAAGGGCATCACAGAAAGTATATTATCAAGCAACTATCATGATCATAAGATCAGGTTAATTTTTTAGATCAGTTTTTTTGAAAAGAGAGAGGCAAAATTACCCTAAAAAGTTAGTTAGGAATGCTTACCTTGCAGTACCTATCTCCATGCTGAAGGTTCCTGTGGTAAGCAAAGGGAATGGAAAGTTCAACATTAGATGGAGCCTTATTCTTCTCAAAAAATTAATAAATCATTACACAATGCCACTTTGTAACACAATCAATCACATATGCATAATGCATAGCACCAAAAATGAAATAAATTAAATTCTGATTTCCCATTATTTAATCATATCATCCGCAGAAAAACTAGAGAAGCACAGACAAACATTCATTTGTACATTCAGGGGATGTGGATATGCACCTATCCTATTTGATGAAATTCCTAAATATCTGTTGAACTCATCAACACAAGCCCCTTTTTCAAATTATGAGCCCACCATGTTGAAGGGTCTTGTGTATATTCAATGGATTGGTTCCCAACATTTGAATCCTCACAGCATCCTTCAAAGCCATTCTCACCCCATAACAATGTACACAAGAAAGCAAAAGAGGATTCAAGACTACAAATATCCATCTTCCAAAAAAGAAAAAAAAAACCCTTCATCCAAAATCCAAGAAAGGCTATGTATTGCTAAACTACAAAAATACTAGAATGCTACTAACAACTCTCTTTACACAGAGTTGCAAATTTATACAAAACAGAGCAGAACATAACCACAGAAACGTAACACTTTGCATAAAGATCGAAACTTTACGCAGAAAAAATCATGGGGCTGCATACACACATGAATACATTACAGTGTACTAAGTAAAAACAAAAGGGAAAAAAAACATGAAGAGACAAAAACAATAACTGGGTAATCGTTAACGGTTAGGCACTTACCAAGCAAAGCAGCTTTGAAGATAGAAAGCAGTACAATTTGAACTTTGAAGAGGAAGAGAACAAAGTAAGAATTGCTTTGGGTAGCAGAGAGAGAAATAATTAATCCAGCACCATGACACGTGTTAGGCAGGTATTAGACACGTGGCAACTTGGAAGAGGTTAGGGTTTTTTGTTCACAAATCAGTAGTTGGTGGGGACAAGCAAGTGACAAAGATGTAGATTGTTTCTTTATGGGATTTGGTGTACCTCTTTTGAAACCAAATCCAAGCTCAAAAGGTTAAGAAATTTTTTCCACGTTTTTTGGCAGATTGCTTTGTAAGAATATCATCTCATTACAGTTTTCTCTTTGATGTAATTTGCTATCTTGTTTAATTTGGAATGTTAATCATTCCTAAAGATACATCAATATAGTGGTTCAGGCTCAACAAAATCCTGAAAAGGTACAAAATAAAATTTTAAAAATTACAAAAAAAAAAATGCCTTAATGGTGTATATTAGTTTAAGGCTTGTTTCAATCTCCTAATTAATAAACATTTTTTTAGCAAGATTATCTTGATGACTTCTTTCCTCTATTTTATGTGTGTTATTTGAGGAAGAGGTTATGATTTGGCTACCTGAATAGCATCTAGCTGGCTTCTTTAGGCTATTAGGTCATTTACATATTTTATTCTTGAATGATAATCGTCTTATCAAATAATTAGAGATCAAAATAATTGCATTTTTATTTGGTAATGACTTCTATCTACTTATGTTGATTATTACCAAAAGCATCTAAAAGTGACGGAGAAAATGAATAGTAATTTTATGTTGATCAAAATTACTATTTATTCTCTCACGATTCACTATTCATGGCAATTTTGATAATTTTTATGGTGGCTTTTTTATAATTTTAAAATTATTTTTATACATTCATATGTAAATTTTACATTATATTTTATTTTGATCCTTGATGTTTACAAAAAGTATTTTTAATCTCTAATGTTTTAAAAAATATTTAGGATAATTATACTATAAGTACACTAACTTTTAATTTTTTTAACCAAGTATATGAACTTTAATTTTTTTTTTTTTTGTCCGAGTATCTAAATTTATTCAAAACTATCAATCAAATAGTTCTGTCAATTTTTCGTTAAATGAAGAAGGGTTTATTACCCTTAAAATACTAAATTATAATTTTACATTTTTTTTTCAAACGAGTACAAGAACTTTAATTTCGTTTGAGTACACTAACTTTTTCATAACTATCAATCAAATGCTTTTATTAATTTCTTTGTTAATTAATGATATGTTCTAATACGAATTTATAATTTTACCCTCTTTTATTGAAGGAAACTCTCTCTCTAAATTATTTTACCATTTAAAAACTTGATAAATAATTAAAAAATATTATTTTTTATCTATAAAATTCCAAACTAAACTCATTTAGGTTGCTATTAAAAAAAAAAAAAAGACCTCAGTTAGATTTAAAAGCAAAAATTAAAAAAAAAAGGTGAATCCTCTCAATGACAAATCTTACATTTGTGTTTAAAAATGATATAATTAGATTTTTTTTTTTTTTAACATCAAGTCTAACTAAGTTTCGTTCGAGATTTTGAAATTAAAAATAAATTTTAAAAATTACAAAAAGCAAAAAAAAAAAATGCCTTAATGGTGTATTAGTTTAATTCTTGTTTCAATCTCCTAATTAATAAACATTTTTTAGCAACATTATCTTGATGACTTCTTACCTCTATTTTAATTATGAATGTTGTTTGTCGAGGAGGGTTTTGTTTGTTTGTTTTTGTTTTCATTTTCTCTTTTCATATTGACATTCAACTTATTAAAAATAAGAAAAAAAAAACTCCACTTAAACTGTTTGAATTACAATTTTCATCCAAAAAAAATTGAACTCACAATATATTTAAAAAGAAGTATGATTATCAATTCTTTATGCTATTAGGTCCTCTACCTAATTTATTCATGAGTGATTATCGGCTGTATCAAATGCATAGAGATTCAAAATGATAGCATTTTGGATTTGATAATGATTTCCATCTAGCTAGTTCCATATGTCAATCATTATTTCTAATTTCTTTTGTTTAGTAGTTGTCTAATTGATAGTTACTAATTACTCACTTTCTCTTGTTCAAATAATGAAAAAGTAATAAAGAAAAAAACTTGGAATTTTTTAAAGAATGTTTAATATTATTAATAAACAAAGCAATTAATGGCCAAACGAGACTTCCGATATGAGATTAATAAACACCGTAAAGAACAATGAAAGCCTCTTATATATAATAAGCTAGAATGCAGTCTATATTTAGGACAAGTTTGACGCATTAAGTTTGCCATTCAGGTCGTTGTTTCTCCATGCAAACTCCATTTTTCAAACTCTCGTGCATTAAAGTGTAAATAAATAGTTCATATATAGTTTGAATTTTTAATTTATTTTTATTTTTCTAAATATATCTATTATATCTTTGAATATTGTTTAAATTTTCAATCTGTCATTTCGATTAATTTTTTTAATTATAAACAATTTTTTTTTATTGAAATACCCTTGATTGAAAATACAAAAAATAAATTAAAAGCTTTTAAGTATTTTAAAAATAAAATATGCAGGTCATATAATTTTAAGTGAATTTTTTTATTTTCACTTAAGAACATTTTGGTCAAAAAAGTTATCTATAATAAAAAAATTGATCGAAATAATATATTAAAGACTTAAATATTATTTAGAAGGATAATAAATACAATAAAAAACCATATTGGAAACTTGACTTTATGTTAAAACAAAATGAATTAGTTATTCTTAATGTGTTTAACTTTCTAGAATGCAAGGTGTGTATATAAACCAAATAAGAAACAATAGAAACGAGAAAACAAAAATCAAGCTATCATATAATGCCTTATCAAGTATGAACAAAAGGAAGAAAAGAGGTCTTCATGAAATGATTAAAGCAAAAAGAAAAAAATTCAGGTCCTTAATGCTCAATCCTTGTGACCTTGTCTACCACTTTAAAAAACAAAAAGGCGCAGGTCAGTTTGGCCAGTTCCACCATGAAAGGAAAGGGAGCATCCACCACTTGCTTAAAAGATACATACTACCGCCAATCAAGCTTTTGTTTGTTTGTTTTTTCATGGATTTTGAATATTCAAAGGAGATTAGATAACATTTAAAAGAACGATGCGGTCGTCTTTAGCAGATGTCAAGATCAAAACGAGGGACCTTTCTAAAAAACTACAGACCAACACAACATACCAGAGAGATGTCACATGAACTGCTTTCGTGAGTGAAATGTCTAGTTTCTTTTTTCTTTTTTCCTCCCGAATGCGACTAATTCTAATCAATGCACATGGGATAAGATTTAATATTTTTCAGTAAATATAATTTTAAGATTTAAATTATGTATATCGATAAAAAAAATCATTCCTTTTGTAATTAATATATAATTAAATATTTAAAATTACTATTGATTATAATTAATATTAATATTTTTTATTTTATCAATATGATTACTGTAATTATATTGTATTAATATTCATCCAATATATTATTAAGATAATATTAGTATTATCTTATTAAGATATTGACCAACGTTTAGGTTATTAATATCTTATAAATATCATAATATTTATTGACATAGTTAATTTACGAAGTTATAAAATATAATAAATATTATTAATATGATAATAATATTAATTTAACCAATATTAAGTTATCTTAATAAAATATTTTTAAATTATTATCAACTTTGTAAATTAAATAGCTATTACATATTATTATATGGTTAATATATTATTAAACATAAGTTTTAATATTATCTTATAATATCTATTGATATTCTAATATACCTTCTTTAATAATATTATTATCTAAACAATAGCATTTGTTCTAAAATAATAATTATTACCTATAGTTTGATAATATTATAATATTATTATTTTTAACAATAAATATTAATATAGTTCAATGATACCAAAGGACCTAATTGTTAATTTTATTGGTAATAATACTATAATAGGTATAGTTGATAATATAGTAATTTATATTTATTAACATAATGATTATAATATATCACCATACTAAACAGTATATTATTTTAATATAACTCAATATATTTTTAAAGGAATTAAATATATTATTAATATATCCATCAATTTAAATTATGTACAAGCCACCAGCTAATGACGAATTTGTGAATTCTCTTTCTTCTCCTTATGTTCAGTCGGATTTATTGGATCGAATATGTTGAGATTAAATCCCTAAGAGAGAAAGAGACAGAATAA